CTCGGCATTTCTCTAGGTGATCGAATCAGAATTCAGAAGATCCGTAGAAGAACGAAAGTCACCGACATAGCACGAAGGATTAGCAAGTTGAAGTCGCAGTGGACAGGGTAGGGCAGCTAGATGGACGGATGACCTGGTAAGGGCGGCGGGTAACCGATCGATGCACGTCGCGTCCGATTGGCTGGTCTGGAAACTTTGGGGGAGGTCTATGTTCAGCAGTGGACGTCTTCCGGCTGATATGATGGTGCAGTTAAGATTATTCCGGTTTTCTTTGTAACTGCGCTCGTCTCACTGAGATATAAAGTTAACAAGTTCGATGTGTATGTAGTTTCTCGAATACCCTTGCAGTTAAAAACCGGGTTGAAGTTATGTTTACATTACTGCTCGGCAGCAGAAATAGGTAAGTACTGCTTGGCGGCAGTACTTCCCTCGACGAACTCTTTCACAAGGAGCTCTACTGCTACTAACATTAGGCGTTACACCGGTTTCATAGTCAATAAGCATAAACTCCTCATTACTTAGGTAGTTAATGTTTTCAAAAAAGTTGCATATCTCGGAATATGATCGAAAGGGAAGACGTTGAGGGAAAGTCCTCGTAACTGCTTTAGCTGACTAATATTTTGATAATTTGGCCTATTCACTCTTCATTAACGATTAGTTCCACCGGCAGTGAAATAATAACGTCAATTACGCTCACAATAACGCTCACAATCAACATAGCTCCGCACTAGGGAAACCCTGTGTCGCGGGTGCCATGAACAAACACATAGACAACCACAAGTTACACCCAAACTCACGAGAGAAATAAATGTAGGCCATACAAATATTTCTCCCGGCCCGGGAATCGAACCTGGGACCTCTGCGTAGCAGAGCATGGTAACCGTTCGGCCACGGAGGCAGTTAAAATTGACTGCTATAACCCACTTTTCATAGTATAGTCTGACGTAGTAACCTATTTATTTTATCTACTTATTTATTTCTCCACAGATATATAATTTATACTTATTCAAAAGACCTAGCCTTTACAGTACCTATATATATATATATGTATTCTAGTTAATTCTTCATTAATTAAGTTACATTAAATACTAGCTAATTTTCTAAAGTAAAACTGTCTTTGTTTTGTGTTCTGTTCTATGTAATACTATCTCTAATTATAATATTTATTTCAATAAAACATTACATCACTTAGAATTAAATTTTTAATTATTTTTTTCAACACTTTGTATAATATAATAATGACGTTGTAATTTAATTAACTTTTCGAAAATCGTATAAGCTAATGCCGCTGCGGCGGCGACATTCCAAAATAATATTATTAAATGTTTTTTCATTTGACTTCTAGCCAGGGAAATGCAAAATCCGAAGGCGTCTACACAGTTGGTGGTGATGAGTGACCCGTCTACGGTAGTCGACCAGTCGGGCATTGGCCGTGGAGACATGGATCGCGTGCAGACCATGGTCTTTAGCCCTGACGGGACTAAACTGGGTGAATATTGAAATTTACTAGTCTGTTATGGAATCTTTGTTTAAATTTTCTTCTACTCATGACAAAAGAAGTTACTAAAGGCACTTTTGCAGGATTTCGAACTGACCTGTGATTTTTTATCAAGCATTGGGTGTAATACACCCTCCCCTCCCTCAACAGCACCCTCTGTTTTATAAGTAATAATTACAATCGAGTTCTTAGGTTTTATCCATTGCTACATATTGAAAATGAAACTATTTTCATTTTTACAAATAATAGACACACATTTGACCGCAATCTCACCTGATGTAGAACGATGATGTGACCGTACGCGTATGCCTAAAATTGCCTATGTCTATCCTTGAATAACCCCAAATTGTACTTGTCGGGAAACACAGATGCCTGTAGAGTATTTCATTCCTTTGCCGTATGCATCAGAAAGGAGGAAGCAAAGCGCTTAGTGCGAATGGGTGGTATATCAACGCCTTAAGGATGGAGTGTTCCGTTCCAGTTGACAGAAGGAGGAATAATTATAATAATAATAATAATAAAATTCATTTATTTAGGTAACATGGACCCAAGGTGTTAGTTAGTTGCAAAATCACTTAAACCTAATGTTAGTACATGTACGCAAAACAACAAAGACAAAGCACAATAGGACACCAGTACTTCTTTTTAAGTCACATATGCCGAGCATATCGAGCCGGTTCGCGATCATGCTCAGGATGCTGTTGGGGCTGGCCCGAATCCTGCGCTCCAAGGATATGCATCGTTTACGCGTCGTGTTGTAGAAGCAATCTACATGTGCCTCCGCGAACGCGCTGCAGGACCGCGGCAGCCCCATCAGCATCCTGAATGCATTATTGTATTGAACACGTAGAGCACTGTACTGTTTCTGAGTGAAACCAACCCACAGGCTGTTTGTGTAGAGCGTCGTACAATAAGCTCTGAACAGTGTAATTTTTGCCTCAGTAGAACAGTATGCAAACCTGCGGGCTAACATATTGGCTCTCACAGACAGTGCTCTACGCTCTCGTTCAATATCGGCGTTGTCGTTAAGGTCAGGCGTTACTAAATGCCCTAGATACTTAAACTGATCCACTCTCTTTAGTGGACTCCTGTTTAAGAAAACAAGTGGAACCAAATTGAAAAGTTCTTGCGCATACTCCCCGAAATGTATCCGATTTTAATCCATCACGCGCTCTAGTAAAATGCCGTAGCCTAATGGTTGGACCTACCGTCTCTCAAGTAGAGGTCGTCGGTTCGAACCCGGGCTCGCATCTGAGTTTTTACATATATGCGAAATGTACTTTGAAATTTACCACGAGCTTTTCGATTAACGAAAACATCGTGATATTAATCTGCACGTTGAATAAGGTTCAGAACTTTCGGAAAATGTGTGATATCCCCAACCCATATTGGCTGTGGCAAACTATGGCCTAAACCGTCGCCTGAGAGAAGACCCGTGCCCAGCAGTATAACGTATTGCAGGTGATAGCAGATGGGTTGATGATGACGCGTCATTAGACAAACGGTGTCTCTAACAATTTCGGTACTGCAGCGTCTCTAACGTGTCTCTGACGGGCAGTTGCGTTTTCATTTACCATAAGAAAATAGTAAATTGGCGTTGGCGTTTATGATTGAAACAAGATGAATTATATTATTACACTATTTAATTTCGCCTTCCCCTTTCTATCACTGGGGGTATAGGCGTGGGCTTGGGTTTCACTCATATGTTGTCGATATTCCAAAGATTCGCACGAACGAAACGGCTATGGAGTGGAAGTTCCTGCCTGCAGACTTGTTCCCTGAACGTAATAACTTGGGCCTTTTCAAGGCGAGAGTGAATAGGCATTATTTAGGTGTGCATGTTCCAACGTCGACCTCGTCGTCACTCATCAGGTGAGATGGAGGTATTTGACCTCGCGCACTTATATTTTATAAAAACAATTCAAGTTTATTCTTAACTTACACTGAATTACATTGTTGAATGGCGATACAGGAGAGAGTTAAAATGGTGATGTTATTGGCCAGCAATAATTAAATTACCAAACTTTGTGTTGTTTGTTAGGAAAGCGTGAAAAAAGATGCTATGTTATTTAGAAGAAAACAATCCTTATGATTGAGGCTTTCGATCAATATAGTAAAATTACAGGTATTTTTTTCACATTTGGCGGGTTCGAGTCTCGGTTCACACAGGCAATTATTTAAAAATCTTAGAATGCAGTTCGTATTGTTTTTAAAATCAAAATGATGTTCTTTCAGTAAAATTTTCTGACTGTGGTATATAAGGTACTTTCCCTCCGTGTGGCATTGCCGTGGAACACCCTGTATAGTTGTTCTGTGTTCAAATTAGTAGAAGTTACATGCTATTGCATTTTTTATTTTAGCGACAGCTACTTCCGACGAAGACTTGTTGATCTGGAACTTTCTCCCAGAAGATAAAACTAAAAAGAAAGTAACAAAATCAAGAAAATTCTCAACTTTACCGGTCTACATGGACGCGTTAACGCAAGGATTTGTTTTACGCTAGAATGTTTTAAGAATTTTGTCAATAGTTAAACAAGTATTGGTTAAATAAATATTGTTATTTTATAATGGTCATGAATTTCTGCTGGTTTTGAAATAAATGGATTTTTTAAATTAATGTATTGTAATTTCAGCCAGTAATTACATAAATGTAACAGATTTTTTTTTATGATAAACCAAATGATGGGACTAACAAGTCGACAGCTGTTGCAGTGTCACTCAGAACTATATGTTCAGAGCTTCAGTATGATAGGGTTCATACAATCGTACATTACCCAAATTCCCGCGCCCGGAACACTTCCGCGGCCGCCTCTGTGTGGCCAGAGCTTTAATTTGCAAAGACTTGAGGTACACTACCCCGCATCTGTCACCATGAGGCATAAGATAGGCTTGTAATTACAGGCACAAGGGACTAGTTCCGGCTGATGCGACCCAAATTTTTTTGAAATTTTGGTTACTTTACCCATCAAAACCGGAACGCAGTACTGCTCACATTACTGCTTGGTGGCAGAAATAGGTAAAGTGGCAGTACTTCCCTGGATGAACCCTTTCACAAGGAGCTTCCGGTTTTAGGGGTGCTAGTGAAATTACAGGCATATGGAACTTGTCAACTTATGTCTCAGGGTGACGGGCGCAGTGGTAGTGCTTCTCAGATCTTTGCGATTTAAAGCTCTGAGTGGCACTGCAACTGTTATGGACAGGCACATAGCTTACCATCAGGCGCATGACTCATTCGTCTCGTCAAATGATATTATAAAAACACGAATTTACTTCGGTATTTTATTGGTTTATTTGGTTTACAATTTGAAATTCATATACATTACACGCTTCTTATAACGTTCAAACCATTGACTTACAAATAAATGGACGACGGTTCTAATACAAAAACCACGAAAATAATGTCCCAAATCAACCTATTTAAACGTAGTGACATGTAAAGGAATATGAAAAAGCTAAAACGTTGAATTTAAATTGTAATGTCATCACAGTACTGTCTAATTTTGCTTGCTTCGCTGTCAGTCGAACAAACGAAGACTAAAGCGTGAATAACGCTCTGTAGACGATTTTAACGCCTTATAAGTTCGGATACTTTTAGCGCGGACCCGACGTCCATATAATTGTAAGTCAGTGGTTAAACTATAAATATAAATAACAAATGAGGCTATCGGGGCAAGAGTGGTGTAACCTACATTTATTTATTTTTTTACAATATTACTTTAAATGATACTAAAGTTATTTATATTTGGATGGTATGTTCATGTATAAAAAAAATATTATTAAATATTATGACTATACAGGTCACATCTTCGACGTCTTGTAGAAAGGGTGTAAAAGACATTTTGTAGATTTTTCAGGGGAGCGTGTTTTAGGTATTAACAACTATTTAAAAAAAATTCCGCCCTGTATTCAAATTCAAATTTAAATAAGTTTAAGTTTTAAACTGCAACCAGACACACAAGTACAGTAACCACGAATTTTCAGTATTAAGTGCCCTAAGCTTAAACAATGTTTAATTGATCAAAAACTATTATGCAATTTTGAAACTAGTATAACTAAACGTTTTTTCCATAAGTATTTGTTGGGAATTTGGATTTACAAAACCGGGGGAAAACTTTTTCTTCGATGATAACACTATTTTCGTATTCTGACCCTTTACGACAAAAATGCGAGGTGGCGCGAATTATGTATCCGGGAGTATATTTTAACAAGACTTTTACTATCTCATCAATACTTGATTCTCGCTTAAAAATTCAAAGCACTCAACAACATCACAAACGCAGGAACATAAATTCCGTTGCGCTTGCGCTTGCGACTTTCTATCACGCGGTAAATCAGATGTGCCCTTTGTGTTTCCCTGTCCCAGGGTCAGCGTGTCCTGGGAAATTGCACAGTGGTAAGTTCCACTGCTTAGCATAGTTTTCTTCTAAGCATACATGTGCGAGACTATACCTATATACTATAGAACCGCCTGCGAAATCTAGGATTTTATGTTTTTAAACGACTTTAAAAAAAGAAGGGGTTCTCAATTCGACTGTATGTTTTTGTATTTATGTTGCGCGATACTCTTTTGCGAAATTTTTGAACCGATTTTGATGAGTCCTTTTTTTGTTGGAAGAGGGTACCTCAGTAGTGGTCCCATTTAAATTTGAAGAAAATGTTACACCTCTAAAAGGGTGGCAAACTAGGGGATGAATGACTTTTGAAGTTGGTTTTTTTAGTTCTCTGTACTGAGATTATGTTACCAGGAATTTCGTCAACTTTACAACATATTATTAGTGATTCAAGATACATCCCACCTTTGTTGCTATATTAATTTTGCTCATGTGACCTTATTACAGGAAGGGTGCGTTTTATAGTTTTTATTTATGTAAAATCAAGTGACAGAACGAACAAGTCATGTGCCTGATGGTAAGCTACACGCCTGTCCATAACAGTTGCAGTACCATTCACAGCTTGAAATCGCAAAGATCTGAGGGGCACTGCCACAGCGCCCGTCACTCTGAGACATTAGTTGGCAAGTCCCATGAGCCTGTAATGTCACCAGCACCCTTAACCCTTCAGAACCGGAACACAGTAATGATGAATTGATGATGATGATGACTAAAGGTTATTATACAACTTCTGCGTACTTGGATGACAAAAATCCGTGGTAGTAACCCGTTTAGCTCATGGAGGCAGTCTCGATCTCTGATGTTTCAAATAAAAAAAAATATTGTAAATGTTATTTACAAAGAGCAACCCCTATAGTTTCTTGCTCATTCTTCTCAGGGGAATCTGCCTTACGAATGAGCGGTAGAGTTTAACCATTGTGACGATTTCAAGTGTAATAATGCTTACCTATGAAATAAAGATTATTTTGAAGTTGAATTTGAATTTGAATTTGAATGACGTTATATCTTGGCGGTGAAAATAGGTAAGGTGGCAGTACTTCCCTGGACGAACTCTTTTACAAGGAGTTTGCTACTAAAACTGCTTTAAGTTACGCTGAATACGAGCAGCGCTAGACTGGGCGTTGTGTCTATGCCCAAAAATAATAATGCTGATGATATTTCACTAAAGAAGTTAATGGCAACTAAGATTTTCCCCTCAATTCAATATAAAACAACTGAATGTGTCTTCATTTCTGCAGAGCGGCAATTGTGGCACCCAGCGAACGGATAGGCACACAATGATCGTATAATTTAACCTCTTCGACGACTCAATAAGTGTGTGCATCTCAAAATGAAGCTAGCGAGCCTGGTAAAGAGGCTACGAATGTTTTATGGATTTATATGGTACTATTTTCTATAATGCGACGTCTATCACATTTATTAGGATTATAAAGGCCTTTGCTCGATGAGAGAAGGATCAGTCGTCACGGCAACCTTTGGGAGAGTAATGAACGGCTACCGGCTGATGTTGTGGTAATGATTTTCGATTTACAAAACATGGTCATAGTTACGGGTTACACGGGTATTACTTGGTGACTTATCAGAAGTAAGAAATTACATTTGCCCGAAATTACGTTTGCTTGAATTTACATAAGCCCGGAAGTCATTTTCAGCGGTAAACTTTTTTAGGATTATTATAAAGTAAGTAACTTAAACCTAACCTAGACCTTTCTTTTTACGCTAAGCTTCTAAAATAAAGTATAACTGTTCCGTTATAATTTCGGCCATGTTTGCGGAAGCTTACACGGACAGCATCCAGGCCATAATACGGGAAAAGATTGTCTCGCTGTTGAGTCGCGTGAGGCAAAGCGCCAACAGCATTCAAAGTGCAATAATAATAATAACGCACGCACTCAACGTAGCCCCGCACTAGTGGAAACCCTGTGTCGCGGGTGCCATGGACACACACATAGACAACCACAAATTACACCCAAACTTGCGAGAGAAATAAATGTAAACCGTACAAATATTTCTCCCGGGCCGGGAATCGAACCTGGGACCTCAGCGTGGCAGTCCAGCATGGTAACCGTTCGGTCACGGAGGCAGTTCAATAATAGCGCAAAACATCCCGTGATAGCGGGAATTGTAAAATTCCAGTTGTAAAATTCTGGATAGAACAAATCAAGGGCGTAGCCCAATTTCCAATGTAGTCATAAAGTATGTCTGCATTGTATTACAGTAACCTTGTTTTTAAATTCTCTTACTAACATACTATTGATATTTTTAATGGTCCGAAATAAAGAAATTATTATTACTATTATAAATCGATTTTCGGGTTTATGAAATTTCAAGCAAACGTTATTTCGGACAAATGTAATTTCGGACTTCTGATCGGTTACCGTGGTACTAGCCGAAGACAAGGCTAATATAAATTATTATCACTAACTACACGTTTGTTTACGATGCTTAAACTAAGCAAATGATTACTTGTACTTTAGTCAAAGTCAAAGTCAAAGTCAAAGTCAAAGATTATTTATTCCATAGGTAAAATAAATTTACACTTGAAAACGTGACATTTAAGCTACTGCTCGTTCACTACGCTGACCTCCCTGAGAAGAACGAGCAAGAAACTCTAGGGATTGCTCTTTCCCAATAAACTTAAATGCTATGGAATACACTTTGAATCAAATTTGTTTGGATTCTGGAGCCGTGTCGACTTTCCATACATCTTTATCTAACACGTAGTCTTCAATTTTGTAATATGATTTTTCGATCAAAATATTTGTAATGTTGTTTTTAAACTTAGGAAATGATAAACTTAATATATGCTCTGGAATCTTATTGTAAAACCGTATACAGTTCCCTATAAAAGAGTTGTTTACCTTGGTTAAACGAAATCGTGGTATTAGTATCTTATTTGTGCATACTTTCTTCATATTAAAGCTAAAAAACAGATTAGATGTATTTATTTAACAATAAAACATTTTGTTATTATTAATCAACTAATAACTTCTAGTAAGCCTTCTGTATCATAATAAGTATTATTAACCGACTTCAAAAACAGGAGGAGGGTCTCAATTCGTCCGTATGTTTTTTGTATGTATGTTACGCGATAACTCCAGCATTTATGAACCGATTTGGATTTTTTTTTATTGGAAGAGAGTACCTCAGTAGAGG